TTTTTTTTTCAACTAGTTAACAATATGAAAATATTTCAAGTCCAAATCATTCTATTAGGCTGAAGATGGTATTTTCTTAGACCGAAACATGTCACTGATTGTTTAACAAGGCCATATGGAGATTGTGTGGAGATGCCTGTGCTTTCCTTCCTTTAACAATTCTACTACACTTTGAGCAATATGAACTTCAGGACTTCTACCAAAGAATATCAAATTAAGTTGAAATTAAATATTATTCTATAAACAGACGATTTCTCACTGAAAAACAATCATAAAATAATACTTACGTTGATACTTCAACAGATTGCATATGACATTCCGGCAGGAGAAGTTCTAAATCTGAATTCTGGTTCACTAGCTCAGTCATAAAACCACATTATTATAAAACAATGAAATAAGAATCTTCTATTTCAACTTTTAACGTTTCAACCAAAGAATAGTAGAAGTTAAAGTTTAAACTCTGAGGTGTTTTCAACTGAGATTCATTCAACAGGTAAAAATCAATCAACTATTCTTTGAAAAACACCGAGAGACACTCATCAGTGTTGCCACTGTTGCCAGAAGACAAAAACTAATTGTACTAAAATTACTATTGCATTGTACTAAAACCAAGGGAAATGTACCAGAAATGGAATTTTTTAAAATTCGATGAGAAAATTGATGAACAATATTTTTTTTCTGTGACGGGGAAAAAGTTTGAAATTTCTTCTCTGTTGACAGGTTATAAAATGTCACTTTTCATCAATTACTTTTTTCCCATGGGAAAAAAGTGTGTACTTTTCTCTCGGATTGTAATGTATTCAACTCAGTATCCGAGATGTAATAATTATAATACTTATCAACACCCTGTATCTTCTGCTTATCAGTCATCACAAGTCAGGTGCGCATGTAATCTCTAGGTGAATAGGCTGAATACGCGCACGTGAGTTAGATAGCAAAATAATATTCATGAGTGATTCTTAGAATATTTTTCGAGAATATTCAATTATTCTATGAATATCCACATAAAAATATAATCATCCAAGAATATTCTCAGATTATAGAAACGGGACACTTTTAAAGGGTCTAAGAATATTCTCAAAATATGTCCCTAGACTATTTCTGGAATAAATATGAATAAATATAGTATAAATGATTCATGCAAATATGATAAAAATATTATTGAGTTATCTTGAAAATGTTCATTGGATAATTTGAGATTATACTGATTAAACATTCTCAACATAACACATGATTTATCTTTTTGCCTATACAAAATATTTTTAGCATATTCTCTTCATGTCATATGTTGGTTAACCTAGAGAGGGTAATAGACGAACTCAAAACCAAAACCAAAATGTATTCTGAAAATTTTATTGGAAAAAATATATTAAGTATATAGATATTTATATAAATAATACTTATCTTTCACGGCAGGTGATATTTATGTACCTTCGAATATGTGCAAAAACAAACTAAAAATTGAAATATGGAAAAATTAATATGATGTGAACTCATTCAAGATAATTTTCTACTCACCTAATACCTTGATCCAAGAAAATTTGGAGTAAGTTTACTGTAAACTGGCTGGAAAATCAGAACAAAGCCAACGTCTAACAACGTCCAAACGAGTCGAAGTCACGAAGTCAAACAAAGAAAAGAACAAAGGAAAAGCGAGCGAAACAAAACAACGAAATATATGACATAACCTAATATTCTTCTTCTTCTCTTCTTCCTCTTCTCATGTTTGGAACATGTACACAAGGTACCACCCACTTTCACTTTACACCAACCCAACACCATTTTTTGTCATTTATCAATATTCAGCACATTTTTATTCTGAATAAATATTTTTTCGAATACTTATTACTACCAGAATAAAAATATTTTCCAAATTATGTTTCTATCTGCTGTGAAATATTCCTAAAATATTTCCCGAATAATTCTTGCCAGAATATTTTCCAAAATATGTTATAAGGTTAACCAATCGAATTATTCATATATTATTATAAATATATATTTTCAGAATATACCATTGAGAATGTTTCCTAATTATTCCAAGTAATTATATCTGAATTATTCTGAAAATATTCAGATATTCCCGAGATATCTATAAAATAGTTTGAGGAAATATCTATAGAATATTCGACCAGGAGCTTTTCTGAATATTCTTAGAACATTAGGTGCTATCTGGGTTGTTGATGTTGGTAAACACGACATGTATATAACGTGGTGAACCTGGTTTAGGCTTACGCAGAAGTTTTCATTATTATAACAGTCCAAACCCCATCAGTTCCCGGATGTGATATGGTGAACATCACATAGTGGCGACCTAGTGGCGACGAGAGCGATTTTGAGGGCACGCGGATCGCAAAATTTCGTGTTTTTGCGGAAACGAAACCACAAGTAAACAGTGAGTGCTTACCTATAACAAAATGGCAGGAGGCGGGGCCGCAGAAGGAGGAACCAAGAGTGCCACAGATGTATTTCTTGGGATTCCACAATTGAACTTCAGGAAAAATAGTTGGTATGTTCATAAGAGACGCCTATATAACAATCGTTCATAGCGAGAGGAATCAGTGATCCCACTGAGAAGGAAACACATTGACATTTTGATGATCTGATGGTACCACTAACCGCAGATATAGCTGCTCATACGGAGATATTCAAGGGTTTAGATGACCATTTCGGCTCTGTATAATTAAAATGGGCCGAGAGGTACAATTTTTAGCAGATCAAAAAGCTACATGGAGAGGCCATTCCAGAATGCGTAGCGAGGATTAAAAGCCAAGCAGTAAAATGTAAGTTTGGTACCGTGCTGGAGCACGCCCTGCTAGACAAATTCATGTCTGGGCTAGAACTTGGCCCCATTCTAGATAAACTCTGTACGCAACCCGAAAACTCAACCCTACAGCAGGCAATCGATGTATTGATGCAGACGGAGACAGCAACCCTGGGATTCGGTCTCCAACAGGGTGCTGTGGTGGTGAAAACGGAGCCGACGGACATACATCATTTGAGTGCGCGCAACAACACGGGATACCAGCAACCAAGGCAATTTAACTCTATAAGGTTGCCTCATATTTTTCTGGCCTGACGTCAATGTTTCCCCAGTCGTCTTTTGTCGAGCGGCAAAATGAAAATGGCGGAGGTGATAAACAAAACAAACAAATTTTGCATTGTGCAATCCTGTGAAGTTTTCCAATATGTTTTTGTATCCACGAGATAGTTTACTGTTTTCCCAAAACATGCAGCAAGTACAAAGAAAACAGAAATCTAGAAAGATATGTTATGTTCCTCAGTGCTCCTGGTGTACAAACACATTACAAAAACTCAGTCTAATTCTTATTGCAATATCACTCCATCAGGACTGATCACTCTTGGCATTTAAGGATATGGAGGTTGAGCATTTTTGGTAATTTTGCACTTATCGTGCGATGGTTTTTTTTTCGAAATTTTTATTTGTACTTACGTATTTTTGTCTGAAAAACACGAATTTGATAATGAAAATGTGAACAAACCATTATTTATTGAGATATTTCACTATAAAGTTACAAATTTCACCATCTTTTCCGCCTGTCTTCTGGATTGCATTTGCATTGCAATTTGCCCTTCTTTTTCCATCATTGGACAATTTATATATATCACACAATGTTGAATACATTTTTTTATTATATGAGTCAACTAAAAATATGATATGATTTTCTTGTGATTTATCCATGTTTAGTGAAAAGAAGAAAGAATATCATTTGAAATAATGGCGTCGTGTGTAATGTCATTCCAAAGCAATCTATTGACATTTGACATCTCGTATTTGGATTGCCTATGGATTAAATGGCCATCATCTGGTATGCTTGCTCACTAAATATGAAAAATTCGCCATAAAAATCATATTTCCTGTTGACTCGGTGCCAGTGGCGGTGCCGGGAGTGTCGGTGGTGCCGGCACCGGTTGCAGAGGTAGAAGCGGATACGTGAGTAGACAGCAATGGAACGAACAAGGTGGGATATGCTATCTCAGTTTTATTGAATGTTTCTTAGTCAAAATTACCTGGATAGTGAATAAAAATTTTCTGAATATTATTATTTATTTTACCCAATTTTAGAAACAGCACGGCACTGCTTCACTGGAACATATGACCTTGAATTGATTTGATTCTTTTTTTGAAGTTGTGACGTACGCGCAAAGAAATATTATACAGACTGTATGTATTGTCAAGAATGGATAAAAACTATAATTTTATTGGGAATATTTGAAATTCTCATTTCATTCAAGAACAGTACAATAACCTAGTCTAGATCATATTCTTAGAATTATTTAGCTTACAGGATATCAGTAGAGAATTACGATATTCAAAGGAAATTATAGTACGGATTTCAATTTTATTATTATTCAAGTAAAGTCGCTGACGGGCAGAAACTGCTGGTTTTGGATTTTTCCTAATCGAGGTGAATACACTAGTTTTTATGCTGAATCAATTACCACTACCAAAACGAAGATGAAAAAGTATTAGAGAAGAAACCGGCATTTGTGGTTCGGACAGTGGACCGTAAAGTCTTTTCAAATCTTCTAATAGAAGTAAATCTCAAACTTATTTGCATCATGTCTAAACTTCGTGAGTGGCAGTTCCAATCCTCCAACGAAAAGCGAACCCTTCTGTAAGTACCTTTTTTGAGTATTACTAGTTTTAGTTTTCCTTTTTTGTTTCGATTTGAGTTGGATGTATCTTGCTGGATAATTAATGGTCAATTTATTTCATGCCCTAATTGTTTTTATTCAAAATGAATAAACTTGTGAAGTGGAGTTAAATTATTTAGTTATCATTTTCAAAAAAACCTCTTGCAAGCGAGTAAGTTCGAGTTGCGATAGTGGGCGTTAGAGCCACTCGTGACAGTATTATCTGTACTGAATTTTTGACACCTGGCAACCCCGAGTCAGAACAGTGTTCCGTCGTTCTGTGTTCAGGTTCATCATTCTGACTGTGTGCTCTGTTCTGTGCCCATGGTCATGGTTGTCTGGTTGAGTGGTTAGTGGTTAGTGGCACAGCCGTGGTTATGTTATGTTATTGTTTCTTCAGTTTCTTGTTTCTTCGACAAGATCAGCAGCAGGAGCAGGAGGGCTGGATGTTTGCTGGATGACTTTATTGTGAAATTTGAAATTTTTTGATGCTGATTTGGACTTCTCTATAACGTGGACATATCATACCTGGTAATTAGGCAACGTGAAATGAAAAGGAATTGTGAGAACCAGAATCACAATGTTCAGATTTTTAAGTGGACGGAAACCCAGAAATTCATCTTCAAATAACACTAGGGATGCAAAATCCAAAAATGTAACTAATAAAAATGTGATACAGTGCAGGGTAATATTATTGGATGGAACTGACTTGCCAGTTGAATTATCAGTAAGTTTTCTTTTATATTTATTAAAGATTTGAATTTTACCATGTAAATGTGAAAAATACCTTCTCCATAGGTACCAAGTAGGTATCAACCCTAGTCCACAACCTTTCATTCCAGATGTTGTTTATATTATATTATGCTATTGTAGGGGTGGTACCTCAGATGATACACTCAGGGTCTAACTCAGGGTTGTCTACTAAAGTGTTAACTGCTTGTTTGATAGGATCAGTAATTTAGAAATCTCAGCACTGCTGAGCTCACTACATTTTCAAAGAATCAAAGAATATTTAGTGGTGTAGGAACACTAGTAATTGGAAATACAACTACCTTTTTATGTCAAGGCTTCTTTCAATTGTATATTGCAGATTACTAGATACTCCACTCATACTCCATCAGTAGCTTGCTATTTTTGAGTCCAGTAATTCCTGTTGTTCTTACTGTTTTTCTTTGAATGGGATCCACTTGGATATCTAGTAGTCATTAAGATGAGCAGTTCATGGGATAAAGATTCTTTTATCAACATCAATAAAAATAATACTCATATTCATGGAGAAACCAAGGTAAAAACCTAATACATATTTCAGTTTCAAGTATCTGAATTACATTTCAACACTGTTGTTATTGAGCTCCCAGGAAGTTATGACTTGAAATCGAGCTTGAAATGTAAAGAAAGAATTCCAAATATTCAAACATAGATTTTTCCCAGGAATTCTTTTCTCAAATTTGATGATCTACAATGGTTTTGTAAACAAATCAGCAACTTGTTCTTTTGTTGGGCATCTCCTAGGGCATAGTTTAAGTAATGTCTGTGTAGAATATCAACCTAGCTAATCTTTTCTGACAGTTGTTCTTGATTTATTTATTTATTTAAAAATAAATCCAACACCACTGGTGATTTGGCTACCAGGTGAAAATTGGCCACTAGAAACTGGCTGCCAACTACACACCTGTTAGATTAAATCACAATAAATAATCCTAGTTGAATTATCTTGAATTAATTATACAGGGTGATTCAAAATTCGATGTAAATATTTTGAGAATATACTGTTCCAATCAAAATAAGACTATTTCATCATATAAATATGTGTCCTGAAATGTACCCCCTCCGAGATACAGCCAGTTTGGACCCCCCTCCAACTCACCCAAAATTGGGTTTACATAATTTTTGAAGCAAGAAAGAATGGATTCAAGTGTCTAAAAATATGCATGTCAATTTTCAGAAGATTTGATCCATTATTTTAGTCCCATTTTTTGAATTCATCAAGAATAATAAAGACAAAACAAAACTCAACTGTGGATCTTGCCCTAAGGTATATATCGGTCAGACTGGTCGTACGTTAAATCAGCGCATTCATGAACATAAGATGAATTTTATGAAAAAGAAAACAAATTCAACATACGCCAACCATATATTAGAAGAAAACCATAGTTTTGATGATAATTTCGAAATTCTATTGGTAGAAAATAAAGGACTGAAATTCAATCATTTTGAATCATTAGAAATCAACAAACTCAAAAATGTTGACATTTTACTTAATGATCAATTAGACCTCAATAGTTTACCACTGTTGAATTTGTTTTCTTAGTAAGTAATAATATGTATTTGCTATCAACTCTTTCACGTTAATCCAGTATACTGTATTTCAATGTAGATATTGTGCCTAATTTCCGAAAATGGAGGTTTATCTTACCTGTCCACAGGTAACTAATCCTTCAGGCTGGGAAAGTAGGATATATAAAAGTCAAGCAAGCCAACATTAGTTTAGTTCATTGTACCAGTATATCACCTGACGAAGCTACTGTGTTAGCAAAACATGTCATGTGTTTGAGAATTTTGTGGAAATCTTATCGTTTGTGAAGTTTTTACATTATTTTAGTCCCAATATTAGATAATATTTTTTTAACTAACTTTCAGTGGCTGTATCTCGGAGGGGGTGCATTTTAGGAGACATGTACAGGGTGATCAGTTAAGGGTAGCGAGCGGCCATACCTCATAAGATATTGGTCGTATAGATTTGAGAAAAAAAAATCATGATAAAAGTCGCCAAGAGAAATTGCTGGAAATTATTTTTGAGTTGGTCAAACGTCCGCTAGAGGACGTAACAACCAACACCAAGTAGAAAAATGGGATTTTTATAGAATTTTGTTCAATGAAAGTATATTGATGATATTATTTTCATATTTACTGACCATTTCCCCAAATTTTTTTTCAAAAACGTTTTGTTCTATCTATCAAAATAAAGCGGCGGGGGAAGTTCAATTGATTTTTCAAACAAACAAAAATTTTCCCGTTTATTTTGACCGATTTCAGCAAACTTAGGCTCATGTGAAAGAGCATGATTTGCCCTACAAAATGCTCATTTGGTTGTGAAATTTTGACTTTTGCTGTCGCCGCTAGATGGCGTTAACTGAAATGTTAGCAATTTTTTTAGTTTTTTCCAAAGAAACAAAAGTAATGGTATATTAATTTCCATATGTTCCAAAAGAGGATACATTTCTCTATAATTTAATGAAACTAATTTATCATCTACCATTTTTTGAACCGTTGATATTGACCAAAATATAATTTTATTACATTTTTAAAAGGCACGCCACTGTTTTTTGTCAAAATAAAAATCAGTTTTGTAATCTCTCATTAGTTGCTAACAAAAAGAACCTCTTGACTTTTTTTCGTTAGACAAACGGTTTTGGATTGAAAAAATAAAATAGGTTTACATGGGGCGCCCATATCTAATATAATTTTGAACCTTATAATTATCATTGTAAACACTATGTAAACCTATTTTATTTTTTCAATCTAAAACCGTTCGTCTAACGAAAAAAGTCAAGAGGTTCTTTTTGTTAGCAACTAATAAGAGATTACAAAACTGATTTTTATTTTGATGAAAAACAGTGGCGTGCCATTTTTAAATGTAGTAAAATTATATTTTGGTCAATATCAACGGTTCAAAAAAAGGTAGATGATAAATTATTTCCATCAAATTATAGAGAAATTCATCCTCTTCTGAAACATATAAAAATTAATATACCATTACATTTGTTTTTTTTTTTGAATAAAACTAAAAAATTTGCTAACATTTCAGTTAACGCCATCTAGCGGCGACAGCAATAGTCAAAAATTCAAAACCAAATAAGCGTTTTGTAGGGCAAATTATGCTCTTTCATATGAGCCTAAGTTTGCTAAAATCGGTAGGAATAAACGGGAGAAATCTTGGTTTGTTTAAAAAAACAATTGAACTTCCCCCACCGCTTTATTTTGATAGATAGAACAAAACGTTTCTGACAAAAAATGTAGGGAAATGGTCAGTAAATATGAAAATGATATCATCGATATACTTTCATTAGACAAAATTCGATAAAAATCCCATTTTTCTACTTGGTGGTGGTTGTTACGACCTCTACCGGACGTTTGACAAACTCGAAAATAATTTCCAACAATTTCTCTATCTCTATCTATACGACCAATATCTTATGAGATATGGCCGCTCGCTACCCTTAACTGATCACCCTGTACATTTGAAGAAAACATTTGAATCATCCTTTATTGTATTCCCATTCTAGCTGTTTCTTTCAATAACTTCTTGACCCTCTTGACACCAACTTGAACACCAAGCCTGGTGTGAAATATTATTTGAAATATTCTCATATTTCTTTTGTATACACTGAGGATGATTCTACATTAATTCCATGAAACTGTTGTTGCAAATTATCATTTCAAATACAGTTCAATCACAGTTCTTTCTCAGTGAATCACTATTAAAATCCAAAAAATCTGTTGTTTATGTACCTTCACCAGTCTATACACTTTACTTTATTTATTTCAATTATTGACCATTTGAATTGTCTATGTATCTGTATTCCAACGCGTTCAACCTCAACCTTGACTGTGAATTTTTTATTTCACTTCATTTATTGTATTTATTTATTTATCATGCTTTGTCAACAAGAATGTGTTTCTTTGACAATAAATAAAAATTTATTGATTGTTTGACAGTTGATATGCTTTGAATCAATTGATTTACATGGCAACAGTGACACATTTCCAGTATTTTCAAAACTACAACACAAGAAAATCAATGGATTTCTGGTGACCTTCTTGGAAGATGAATGGAAAATATGGTTGTACACAGAAAGTGTAACATGTAATTCAAATTAGTGAAATGTAATTCAGAAAATATTAAGTATTTGTATTTAGAATAGTTGACGAGATGAGTTGATTTTCATTCAGAAAGTGAAAAATGTAATTCAGATCAGTGAAAACCTCCATCAAGTTTTCAGTGTGAAACCAGGCACGAGTTCCAGCCATGACTTCACCTAATATTCCAGGCGCGCGCCATACCTCCAATGGTCTTTCATTATTAATTTATATTCATGGCTGACCATGAAATTACTATATGATGGAACAATGAAATATATCTATATCTATACCATGAAACTACTGAATATGTCAGTGGATGAAACTATTTTCCATCAATGTATTCCTCTGAAGGTCCTTTATAATCTGTATATCGCACAATAATTTGTCGGACAAGAATTAATTTCACAGCCCCCTCTTTCAGAATTTCAAATTTTTTTTTTTTTTCTAAACGAACATCTTATGGACGTCCATAGGTGATCCGCATCAGAATATCCATTTGATATCCTCTGACGGATATCCTATGGATATCCATTTCATGTCCCAGGATATCCCGACCTGAAATGGACTTGAGAAGGATATCCATAGGATATCCTGTGTTATCTGGGAAATAATAATTACTCGAAAACAAACCTATACATCATCAGATGATGGAGGACATAACTTTTTCAGAATACCTGTGGATGGGAGTTTTTTTCTGTGAATGTGTTCCTCTGATCGTACTTGATAATGTGTATTTCTCACAATATTTTGTCGGGCAAGAATTAACCCCACAGGCCCCCCTTTTTCGATTTTCGAAAAAAAATTCATAACTTTTTCAAAATACACGTGGATGGGAGTTTTTGTTCTATAAACGTGTTCCTCTTA